AATCCAATGTGGATCATATCAAATGACATGATTTCCTTTTTCCAACAATGAGGTATTGATTTCCATGAGGAAACTCATTAGCAGGAACCATTGGCAGGAGATTCTGCTCTTTAGGTCCTCTTTAACTGGAGACAGTCTCCTTTTGTGGAAGAATTCAGAATTCTTATATCCAGGAAGAATAATTGTCCTGCATCGAATAGAGGCCATGTAGTTGCTATTTAAAAACACACTTGAGTGAGTCACATATGGAGAGTTTATTTATTTGGATCCGGACTTTATTATTTCTACAAAGAAGGCGGAGAAGAGATGCAAGAAAAGGAAGGAGACTATTTGAAGCTCAGGGTTGGACTGAGGGGCCTTTGGAGCTCTCTGAGCCCCTCCCCCTTCCAGCCACGATGACCCCTCCCTCCTCTCTTCCCCCAACAACGACCCTATGAGGTGGGCTGGAAAAGAGCGGCTGCCCCACAGTTGAACTCAGGCTCTCTTGCTTTCTCTCCACTGGACCCCACTGGCTCCCCTTTATAGGCGGTTATAAGGTCTCCGCCCCAGAAGAGCCCCTGAGCTCCCCCGGCCTCAATAGGGGGGAAAGAGCGGGGGAGAAGGACCCCAAAAATCAACGGGATCCCTCCGCCCCACCTCCCTGGGGAACCATAGCAACCATCCACGCCGCGCAGGCGCCATCTGGCAGGTTGGAGGAAGGCGGAGGCCGATTGGTCAGTTTGGAGAGCCTGGCGATTGGCAGGAGGACTCCTTGGAGGCGGTCCCTCCAAAGGAACTGGCACAACTTCTAGGGGAAAAAGGGCGTGAAGCCTCCACTTCCGGAAAAGAAATGGGTAACGAGGGAGTTGCCTGAAACACCGGGGCCCGGATGACACAGGTTTGGCGAAGGGGATGCTGGGAGTTGCAGTCTGGGAGTAGAACGCGCGCGGGGTGTGTGTGTTTATGTGTGGGAGACAGAGGCCAAATCTGGGGAGCGAGTCTGGGAAGAGGGAAGGGGAGGAAATAGTAGAGGGAAAAGCATTAATTTCCTCGGCTCCTTTTGATACCGTAGAATAAACAACATAACACTTCAACTTTCTACTTTTACATAATACATAGCTTCCCTAGCATCAAATCTAATTGGCAAAACCCAAAATCAAAGTTTTTCCCCCCATCTTAAGCACAAAGTCCAAAAGTGGTTTCCAAATAAAAACAAAATTATGATCTTTTATTTAATCAGTCCGTTTAGCTGCCTCTGCTAACTCCCATCAGCTTTTGCAACCATTATTGTCCATTGAGGGAATGGCATTTTGGTTCATTTGCTTACTGATGTGTCACTTGGACTGAATATTATATTTCTTTACATGACCCTGTTGGAAGAAATGTCCTTCTGGGTTCGGCTTCAAGTGGGGAAAAGGACACCGGAGACATGGAGGCTGCTTGGGAAGATGGTTTTAATGATGGACAGGGCTACATGGCTTGAGTCCTGAACAGAAAAGGTGATCACATGCCTCAATGTTGGTAGAGAAGGGATGGGAAGGGAGGAAGAAAAGCTGAGTCCCCGGTTTTATGCCCTCTCTGGCCTTTGATCTTGAGCTTGTATTCTGATTGGCTGTCAGACTC